CCCCCCCGCCCCCCCCCCCCCCCCCCCCCCCCATTAAAATGTCACTGCTCTTGCAGCAGAAAGCAACTACAGTCATCTTCTATGCCCACTGCTCAGACCACATCCCTCCAGATTCTGAATGCCTGAGTAGGTTTGGTCCCGTGTCCAGATGAAGATACTAAATACCACTGTGCAAATGCTGCTCTTATCTATACCACAAGCTTTGCATCTCTGATCCAACTTGTTCCCTTTACTACCCCAGTGATGCACATTCTGTTTTCTTATCTGACTCTCACTTCCACACATCCCTTTACACCTGGAATGAGCTTCCTACTTTTGTGCATTATATTCCCTCCCTCTTCAATAAATCCCTCCTGCAAGATCCACAAACTAGCAAAACCCAAGTCCCTGTAGCCATTTTCTGTCCTTATCTGCCTTTCAAATTCTGACACTGAACAACAACTGTGTCTTAATTTTGATCTTACTCTGCATACTATCAGCAATTAAACATTTATGGATCTTACCTTCTTGCAACATTCTGATGATTTTGCACAGATTTCACAACAGTTGAGAGCAAATGAGGAATCGTTCAAGACACAGCAGGTTAGTTCTAATAACCTACATGTACTGGAGACCAGACCCACCAATGGGGAGAAATGGGGTTGTTGTCCAGGGGCCTGGGTGATTTAAAAGGTCTTGGGAGTTCCAGTGCTGCAATGGTGGTGGCGGCCAGGATCTCGGAGCCATTGTAAGTCACCCGGACAAGCCACAAGACTCCTAGGCACACATGTGGCAGTACCAGCTGCAGCGAAAGCAGCCATGCGGCCAATCTTGGCAGCTCACAGGGTGCCTGCCAGCGCAGACACAGCATCACCCAAATGTCAGGCGTACTATGTCCAGCTTGTGCGTGCGTAGGGGTCCTTTGACTGTACTGCCGTGGGGCTTGGACTTCTTGTTGGCAGGCCTGCACAAGACATTTAATCAGCAGAGTGTGTGTGATACACGAAAAGATGCCTGAAGCAGTCTTTTCCCAGTAATATTGTTCCTCGTTAAAGCTAAACTGGCTTCCAAAGGTAGATAAAGTTAGGACAGAAAACTGGACTAACAAGTCTTATTGAAGTATAACATTTTCTCTCATTTACATTAGATGTGAGAAAATATTTATCTAATAATTGCTAAATAACTATTGCAAATAGAACAAGTTTCCACACTGTCGTTACTACATCGAGCGTTGTATAAGTAATGGGCTGTGCACCCTTAAGCAATTTTGCTGATGTCTTCCATTCACAGCAGCATTGTTTTGAGAATCTCTTCACTTTGCATGCAAACAAACCACAGAGGATATTTCTAATAGACGTTACATCTGCATATACTGTAAGCTGTCAGCTGCCCTTCCTTCCCGCACAGTTTCCCTAGCCAATTTAGCACATCTGTTGTAATCGTATGAATAATATTAAACAAGATTTCAGACTATACATTGCATGAAAGAAATCAACGAACTTCAGACAGCTCAGATTGGAAAATATGGGCTTTTTAATAAAGACTATACGCTCCTTCAGGACTATTTATGCCTCAGCATTTGAAAAGTGCTTAGTAAACTTTTCAATGTTCCTTCAATATAAATAATAAATTACCATACAACAGACTGTTAAGGTTGAAAAATCCAAACACCCAAAAGTTGGAAATGCCAGAATAAAGCTCCCTGTGTTATCTTAGCTGAGCCTCCCCTTGTGCATATGCATTAGGACACTATTTTCAGTTATATGATCACATACTATTCCCCCCCCCCCCCCCCCCCCACTGCCTCTGATAGCAGCACCCTGGAGACAATGCTGGGGGGAACTGGCTTTTAATGTTGTTCAGTGACTTAGTTCTGGGACAGTTTCTGCTTCCTATTAAAACTCTGCTCTGAATAGTTACAGGCAGTCCCCGGGTTACGTACAAGATAGGGACTGTAGGTTTGTTCTTAAGTTGAATTTGTATGTAAGTCGGAACTGGTACATATTGTAGGGGAAACTCTAGCCAACCATTCCTCCAGAGCTCAGTTTTATTCTCCCACACCTCACTTCCCTCAGTCCTTTATTCTCAAGCTTTATTCTCGGAGGCCGCAGCCCGGCGCAGGGCCGGGTGTCTTGGAGGTCCCGCCGCCCGTGTCCTCCGCGGTGAGAAAAGCCGCTCCGCGTCTCCCTAGTCTGCTGGGGAGGGAGGGCGCTAGCTCCGCGTCTCCCTGGTCTGCTGGGGGGAAGCACCCCCCCACGCCGCCAGAGGCGGCGACAGTAGGGGAGGCACACCGCACTAGCTGCCTCCCCCCCCCCCGTTTGTAACTAGGGATCCGACGGAAGTCGGATTGATGTAACCCGGGGACTTCCTGTATTCATTTCCTAATAGGTTTTACAAGGGCTTTCATCAATGTAGTATCTGGATGTTTCACAAACGGTAACAGTAATGTATTTTCACACCTCCCCTGTAACAGGAATGGATATTATCCCCCTTTTACATAAGGGCAGCTGATGCACACAGAAATTAAGGTAAACATGATTCACTAACTTTTAGCACTCAGTTTCAGACTAGGACTGGATTCTTGAAGCTACTTTACATTCCAAAGGTTCAAAGCACTGTTCCCACTGACTTCATTGCAGAGATAAATGCTCAACATGTCTCCAAAATAGACTGTAGGTGGACACTGTGCAAGGAGGAACACACACTGTGTGGCCATCTACGAGAAGTTTGGCTAAAATCATTAGCTCAGCGCAACATATCTCCTCTGGTAGAGGTTTGGTAAAAAACGAATTCTCTAGGGCTGTGGTGTCCAACATGCTAGTCACTAGCCACATGTGGCTATTTGGCTGGTTGAGTCCAGAGAGTTCGCTATAGCAGTAGCCATTATAGCAACTACCGTTTCAGAACTGGTGGGATGCTACAGATTTAGGGCACTTCCCACCTGCTGTAACAAATGAAGCATGGGGTCCTGCACACAACAGTCTCCTTTATTACACAACTCTGGTTTCTCCATTGGACACCATTTATCCTATGCTCTGAATAAGGCACTTGTCCTGTGTAATAAGGATTATGTCCCAGTTTTCTATGCACCTCACCTCCCAGTCCCTGTTTCCTTGTCCATGCAGCCCCCGTCTTTCCCTGCCGTCATTTCCTGGCTTCCATTTTCAGTCCCCAGGCACACTGTCTCCTTCATGGTTCCCCAACACCAGCAGGGGGAAACACAGAGCAAAGGAGACTCTCTGCTATCAATTTCAGTGTCCAGCACCAAAGCAGCCTGTATCAACCAGAAGCAGAAATTACAAGGAAAATCCTGCTCAGCCCTTGGGTCCCCAAGTTGGAGATTGCTCAGTACTGACAGAACCAGACAATTTAGCTGCCAAAATATAGCAAGTCTCAACTGAGGAGGTAAAACTAAGATTTGTTAGAGGTTGAAATCAATCAAATGTGGACTTTTTTTGCTGCAGGAACAACAGGCTGTGCATCCTTGATACAAAGGGCACCTTCCTTTGCCAAGTTTCAGGGTCCCTGCTCCAAAGCATCAAGGCACTAGAG